CACACACACACACACACACACACACACACACACACACACACACACACACACACTGAATAATAGCTTAAGACAGAAGATTGTGAAGTATTCCTAAGAGACGACCTAACTAAATTAAGAGTTTCGTCGTGTTCATAAGTTGGAAGCCATTACTATTACTAAAATGACTGTCCTTCCCAAACTGGCCTTTAAGGCCAATGCAGGCCCAATAAAAATCCCAGCAGGTTTTCTAAACTGAGTATTTCTAATCTGATTCGAAATTTACATGGAAACTCAAAGTCTTAAAGTTCTCAAACTAATGCTGGGGGTCGGGGGAACCCTGTGGCATTTTGAATAAGATGTCTTTGAACCCTCCTCACAAGTTGATATACAAATGGTTAGTAATCGTATAGCAGTACGAACATTAGTAATTATGATAATAATTCAAGTTAAAGCATAATGAAATACCACTGTATAGCAACTAGAAGGGGTAGTTTTAAAAATCAGCCATACCACACATTGGTAAGGATATGGAACAGTAAATACTTTCGTGTGTTGCTGGAGGGACTGTCCAATGCTACACCCACCTCGGACGCCATTTTGGAAGTTACTATATAGCCTAGCAGTTCTGCTTCTGGGAATTTGCCCAAGAGAAATGAAAACAGATATCCACACAGAGACTTAGCTATGAATGTTCACAACAGCTTTATTCATGGCAGGCAAAATGTGGCGGCCGTGTCTAGCAACGGGGATAACGTGTAAATAGACTTTAGTGGAACCGCTAAACATAACTTTGCTTCAACCACTCATTAACCCTAAGTGTTTACCTACTTACACATGGACATTGCTCTAGACATATTTCAAAAGCATTTTAAATTACATAAGCCCAGCATAAATGAGTACACATTGCATGATTCAACGTAAAAAAAAATTAGAGAAAAATCAGGACTAAAAAGCAGAATGTCTTTGGTGATGGGTACAAAAAAGCAGAATGCCTTTGGTGATGGGTAGAGAAGGAGCAACAACCAAGGGGCATGTGTGGGGACACTGAAACATGTCTTTATCTTGATTGGAGCAATGGGTACATTACACATGATTTTTTTTTTTTGTCAAAATATATCCAAGAGAATATTTCAATTGCTGTCTTTTATTATATGAAATTTCTATCTTAATAATGTTGATTAAACCACAAAAGACCTAGCTACATAGTATACATGTTTCCAATCATTAAACTATGTCCCAGTTTATTAATTTCTTTATTATTATTTTTGTTTTGTTTTTTCGAGGCAGGGTTTCTCTGTGTAGTTTGGTGCCTGTCCTGGATCTCTTTCTGTAGATCAGGCTGGCCTCGAACTCACAGAGATCCACCTGGCTCTGCCTCCCGAGTGCTGGGATTAAAAGTGTGTGCCACCACCACCACCACCACCACCTGTGGTGGTATTCTAATTGTACTGAAATGTGATTTTAATTGTATGTTAATAAATAAAGTTGCCCAGGGGTCAGAGCTATTAGAGCCATAGACAGAGCGTGGTGGTGGTGGTGGTGGTGGCGCATGCCTTTAATCCCATAGATCTCTGTGTGTTCAGGGATACAGCCAGCATTGGAGACATACGCCTTTAAGACCTAGAGGGCTGTACATACAGGCAGTGACGAGGCAGTCACGTGTTTGGGTTTACAACCAATGAGAAGGCAGAACAAAATACTATGAAGAGACAGACACACAGGAAATAGCTCTCTTTCGGGAAGCTAGGACCACCGCAGGAGGAAGGGTAAGATTTTAGCTCTGAGCTCTGACCTCTTGGCTTTCTCTTTTACATTGGTTCTGTGTTTCTTATTTAATAAGATGGTTGGTTACATCAACCACCACCACCACCACCTCCAAAACCACCACCACCATCACCACCAGGCTTATTTTTGTATTTTAAGATTGGGTCATGCTATGTAACTCTGATTTTACCACCCTCCACAGGAATTTGTCATACCCCTGCCTAATCCCCAGATGATACTCCCCCAGGAGCAAATAATCATCTCACTTTTTTTTTCCTGTACTGATATAAACCCTGGAGATGATAAACACTTCAAAACTCTTTTCCTAGTTGTGGTGATATTTTATCTGTGTCCCCCAATAAAGTTTATCTGAGGATCAGAGGAAAAAGCCGGCCACTATATTAAACATAGAAGTCAGGTAATGGTAGCACACACCTTTAAATCCATAAAGGATTGGGAGGCAGGGATCTGTCTGGATCTCTGTGAGTTCAAGGCCACACTGGGAACAGAGCCAGGCATGGTGGCACACGCCTTAAATTCCAGCACTAACCATAAAGGTCTGGAGGTCTGTACAGACAGAGAGGAAGTGATGTAGCTGGGCTGAAAGAGGAAGTGATACAGCTGGGCAGAGAGGAAATGAGTTGGCAGAACAGAAAGGCATATAGGCGTGGGTAGACAGGAAGTAGGTCTCTTTGGAGTTGGTGAGGTGAGGTTGGCTGTGGCTTTTCCTATCCCTCTGATCTCTCAGGCTTTAACCCCAATTTCTGGCTCTGTGTTTGTTTTTTGTTTGTTTGTTTATTTGTTTGTTTGTTTTTTTATTAATAAGGCCGTTTAGCAATTCATCTACACCTAGTTACTAAGGGGGACCTAGTCAAGACAAGAGACATTGGTAAGGTTATTCATTTGACTCCTGTTAAAATAGATTTTTCTTCTCTCCTCTCTTACATCTTCCCAGTTTTATGTCAATTTTTCATCCTGTGCCCTTTTCAAAAGTTAGTATTTCAGACCAATCCCTAATCCTTGGGCAACACATGTCAAATCGATAATTCTTCATGTGTAAAACTGACAAATCTTTATTGAGTCCTTTGACTATTTCTAGTCTGGCCATTTGGTTTTGAGTTGCTGGGTCATTAAGTTCCAGATCTATTTCATGTATAATCACCTCATAAGATAAATAGCTATAAAATGGTGTCTCATGCCCCGTGGGCTACCTTCTTACTCTATTTATTTCTTCCTTTGTCTTTTAGCTTGAGACAATCCCATTTATCTGTTCATATTTTGTTGGACACAGTTTTAGTGCCAAAATAATAGTGCAAATGTCATATGAAAAGTGAGCACCTTTAATCACATGCCTTCAGAAGCAGAGGCAGGTGAATCTCTGTGACTTCAAGCCCAGCCAAAGTTATACAATGAGGCCTTACAGAAAAGCTTTCTTTTATTATTTCTACTAATATTTATATGGTTTGGAGTCATACATTTAAATTTTAATTCATTTAAAGTGTCTTTGCACATATACAAGGCGCAGCTCTCCCTTCGTTCTTGGGCATGCAGACAGCAGTGTTCATAGCACCTCTGCTTAGAAGAGGAATCACTTGGTCTTTAATTATGGAGTCTTTGTTAAAATCTACAAATATGTATTGAGAGCAATGCCGTGAAACGTGTTGTACTAAAGTAAACAGGTCAACTATTTTACAATCTTATGAAAGATTAAAAGAATTCTAAAAATCTGTAATCTAGAGCAAAAAATATTTTTATCATTATGAGAGACATATGTAATGTTATAGAAACTTAAGAAAGGGGCACACCATAGAATGCCATGTTAATTGAAGATTTATGACTGAGTTGTGTTTGTTGAGAGTTTTACTCGTTAGCTCAGGCTGGCCTCAAACTCAAAGTAATCCATTTGCTTAAACTTCTTGTCTTATTTGTGTGTGTGTGTGTGTGTGTGTGTGTGTGTGTGTGTGTGTGTGTATCCACCGTGATCAAGGCAACTTATAAAGCATTTAATTTAGGGGTTTGCTTACAGGATCAAAGGGTGAGTCCATGACCATCATGGCTGGGACCAAGCCAGCAGGTAGGCAAGGCATGGTACTGCTGGAGCACTAGCTGAGAGCTCACATTTTATCTGAAAGTTGGAGGCAGAGAGAGTCAACTGGGATAGGAGGGTTTTTGAAACCTCAAAGCCCACCCCCACTGACATACTTTCTCTGACAAAGACCACACCTCCTAATCCTTCCCAAGCAGTTCCACCAGCTGGGGACCAATCATTAAAACATATGAGCCTATGGAGGCCAGAGCTGAGGACCGAACCCAGGGCCTTGCGATTGCTAGGCAAGCGCTCTACCACTGAGCTAAATCCCCAACCCCAGCCATTCTTGTTCAAACCACCACATCTTTTAAATGCTGGATGACAGGCATGCGGATAGAGAGCTTTGAAAGGAGATCCTAGAAGTTTATTCAGGGTTGTGACAGGCAGAGATGGCTCCAGAAAGCTTTATGATCAGAGTCAGGTGAATGATAAAGTCCAGGAGTTTAGAAAGCATTGGGGGATTTCAGAAAGGAATCTGTACATCTACCCGAGGGCAGAGCATTCATGATGCAGCATGATTACTAATGCAGGTTAGATTCAGGTCCAGAAAAACGTGGAGTGGAAAGCTGAAGGAACTAACTAAACTTGTGTTCAAAGTAAGAAGCCTGTTACGCAAAGTATAACAAATGCACGTTTGGTCTTCTGTTTAAGGAGGATTGAGGTGCAAGGACAGTTGAAGGGAAAAGGAACCCCCCAGATAAAGAGGAAACCTAGAAGTCTAACTCAGTACTAGGTAAACAAGAAACTAGAAGGGCTGGAGAGATGGCTCCGATGTTAAGAGCACTTGCTGCTCTTGCAGAGGCCCTGAGTTCGATTTCCAGAAGCCACATGGCGGCTCACCGCTATCTGTAATTCCAGCATCAGGCAATCTCCTGACCACCGAGGGCACTCACCACACGCATACATACTCATACATCATAATAATAACAACAAAAACTAACAAATCACTGGGGGGGGGGAATGAAAGAGGAAGGTGAAGCGGCATCTTCAAAAGTTTTCACGGGACTTAGCCGGACATCACAGGCACAGCAGTAGAGGGAAGACTGTAGATGTTAACTCGGCCCGGCACACTTCAGTCCTGGCCCCTCCTTCCCCCGGATAGTGAGGGCTTCGGGCAAGAGGACAGGAGAAGCAGCGGTCTGGAAGGTGCTCGAGTCAGAAACAAGGAGAGTATTTGTTTTGTCAACAGAAATTAGGGATCGGCTTCATTTAGATGCGGGAAGCTTGGTGCTTGGGTGGAACATTTAGATGGTGATAGAAGCTGAAAATAATCGAGGGAGCTGGCAGCCACCACCAGGAGTCATAAATCATCCAGATAGCAGCGTTGGCAAGAGCTATTGACGGGTTCACCAAAATAAAGCCTGTAGAGAAAAAGTCCCTGGGTATTGATGGCCCTCACCCTCATCCCTGTAGACACTGTCATTTAATTAGTGTGCTCAGGGAACCATGCCAAGAATTCTCCATGTATTAATTATCACAATAAAGGAAAGTGTGAGTTATAACTATGACTAATTAATTATTGATAAACACTATAAAAGTTAATTTTCCAGAAATAGGAGCCTAGATGATTTCAAGGTTGGCAGTAATGAAGAGGAGGCCAGAGAAAAGGAATGGGAAAAAAACCCTGATTTTATTATCTTTTTCAAAGAACGTCAAGTCACTGTTATCGTCAATCATTAAAACAGAAATTCATAATGGGTTTTCTCCAATGGAGTGACACTGGGTATATCAACCATTCTGGGGCAGGCCTCCTGTTCAGGAGTAGTTGACCAACGTATAATGGACTCCACAGTTTTTTTGTGTGTGTGTGTGCGCTTTTATTTGGTTACATTTTACTGTCTTTTTATTTTCTTTTGGGGTATTATTTTTTTCTTTGTTTTGGGAGATTCTTTTGTTGTATTGGTTTTTTGTTTGTTGTTTTTCATTCTGAGAAAGAACTTAAATATGGGTAGGTAGGGAGGGGGAGAGGTCTTGGGGGAGGGGAAGGATATGATCATAGTATATTCAAATTTAAAATTGTTTTAAATAATAAAAAATATAGTAAGAAAGAAAAAAGCAGAAATTTAGTGTTATGAAGAACTTTTAAATGAATATAATATAATATTTAAATGAAATAATATAATATGTCCTCAAATCACTGGATTGAAAAAAGCCTAAGTAACTGTGAAGATACACTAGCTATATGTTGATAATCTAAGATAATCTAACACAGTTCTGAAATGCATACTCACAACTTGTTATAAATATAGATTTTTGAAAATCCACTATAATGAAAACTATGAACAACTCCTTTGTATAAATTTACATGTCAAGTAAAGAAAAATGCAAAGATTTAAGTGACATCATTTAAAAGATAACCATATAATATATATATGTTCGTATATACACACAAGCAATTATAGATTTTCATTTTCAAATATCTTTGGGCATTATTAGGTACATGGATTTTGGAGATGGTTTCAACAAAATTTAAACAACAGAACCATGAAGTCATATATTCTAGCCATATTATAATGAAAATAGAGAAAGAAGCCGGGCAGTGGTGGCGCACGCCTTTAATCCCAGCACTCGGGAGGCAGAGCCAGGCGGATCTCTGTGAGTTTGAGGCCAGCCTGGGCTACCAAGTGAGTTCCAGGAAAGGCGCAAAGCTACACAGAGAAACCTTGTCTTGAAAAAACCAAAAAAACAAAAAACAAAAAAAGAAAATAGAGAAAGAAGAGAAGGACAAAATACTTCTTATGTTGGCCTATAGACTTAACGTAAGCTCTAGCAAAGTCTGGAGCCTAACCTAAGCTCATATGAAAATGTGAAGAACCCAAAAGGGTCAAAACAGTATTGAAAAGGCAAAACCGAGGAGAGGAAACAGACTTCCCAAGCTCAGAGTCATTGCAAAGCTGCAGTAATCGCAGCCATGTGGTGACATTAAGCACAGCCACACACAACAGGGGAATCAATCCAAACATCTACAGCCAATTTTTAAAAGTCAGGGTGTCAACCTCCGTTAATAGGGAAAAAAAATGACCTCTTGAGTACATGGACTTGGGTAGTAGATTATAAAACTATATCATAAGAGACTGTGTTAGTTACTTTAGCATCACAGTGACTAAACGCTTTGCAAAGGTTTAATTTGGCTTATTGTTTCAGAGAAGTGTCAGCCCATCACGTGGTGAGACGCCACAGTTCCATCTGTGGCAGCGGGACTTGGAGGCAGCCGCTGTGACAAGTCACGGGCCACCAAACAGAAGACCCAGGCAGGCGAGACCCTTGAGTCGGTCTGCTCCCAGTGACCTACCTCTGCTGTTCAGCCCCTCCTCTCTTAAAGCTTCCACAGCTTTCAAAATAATGTCACAAGACGGGAACCAACAACTCAAACTCATGAGTCTGTGATGGTCATTTCATACTCAAACAATAACCTTCCGCCTTAGGTCTCCAGTGCTCTCGGACATCTTCTGATGCAAACTACGCTCAGTCTAACGTCTAAAGTCCCATAGTTGCCGGGCGGTGGTGGCGCACGCCTTTAATCCCAGCACTCGGGAGGCAGAGCCAGGCGGATCTCTGTGAGTTCGAGGCCAGCCAGCCTGGTCTCCAGAGCGAGTTCCAGGAAAGGCACAAAGCTACACAGAGAAACCCTGTCTCGAAAAACGAAAAAAAAAAAAAAAGAATGGAGAAAAAAAGAAAAAAAAAATAAAGTCCCATAGTCTTAGCAGTCTCAACACTGTTTAGAAGTCCCAAGTCTCTACGGAGCCCCTCTAAAATAAAAAAGAAAGTTGTATACTTCTAATACATAGTGACACATAGTATTCCCATTCCAAAGGCAGGAATGGGGAAATGGCATGAAAAGATTGGACAATGCAAGGCTGAATCCAAACAAGACAAGCATTAAATCCCGTAGCTCCACATCTGGCAGATGGAATATGCAGGGGCACCGTCTGTACTCCAAACAGTCCCTGGTAGATCCTGCCACCCTGCTGTTGGCAATACACACGAGTACTCTGTAAATCTGGCTTCACTTTTTGCCTCCCGCTTTCCTCAGCAAAAGTCTCATGTCCTGGCATTGATCATTTCGTGGAGTCTTTTGATGCTCGGGCATTGCCTTCAAAGCTCCACGTGTAGTCCACTCAGAAATCCCCTGGAGAGATTCTAACCATGCACTTTCCCCCTTCGAGGCTTTTCTCTGGAACCTTGGTGCAAGGCTCCCAAGATCAATCACTCTGTCACTCTCCATGCCCGCAAAGCCAGGAGCACAGGAAAGATACCAGAGTATCATGCTGCTGCCGATACAATAATCGGCCTTCTTGGACCGGTTGCCATGACTCTGCCTTCTAGTGCCCGCATGGCTGAACTAAGGAAAGCATTTCCCTCAGCAGAATCCCTTCACCTCTTCTTTTTTTTTTTTTTTTTTTTTTTTTTGGTTTTTTGAGACAGGGTTTCTCTGTGTAGCTTTGCGCCTTTCCTGGAACTCACTTGGTAGCCCTCGAACTCACAGAGATCCTCCTGCCTCTGCCTCCCGAATGCTGGGATTAAAGGCGTGCGCCACCACCGCCCGGCTCGCCTCTTCCTTTTTTAACGAAAACCTTTCAAGTGGATTTTTTTTTTTTTTAAAACATTCTGGAGCCTTTCCTAGGCGGTGTCCATGACTTTCCCTCGGAAACCCATATTCCTCTTCTGGTGCAAAGTGAGAGAGAGGTGACTTTTTTTAATGGTGTTAGTGTCTTCAACAAGTACCACCACTTAGTTCCTGGTTGCTCTGTCTGGAACTTTAACCATATACCCAGCTCTCTCCTCCCCCCAAGCTGTACATTTTCCACGTCTCTCTGCGTCACTTTTGTGCCCCTTTCTCACTCTCCACCTGACTAGATACCGAACAAAAGCGCCAAGTGATAATAATGCAACAGCCCGAAGGGAGACTTTCTTGAAATTTCCTCCAGCAAAGTGAACCGCCCATGACTCTTGAATTCATTCTCACTCCGATTTCCAAGACAGAGGACATAGGTTTGCCACAGCGGGGCTTCTCTAGCAAACAGCTCCACATTCTTCCACGTTTTCTAATGACCCAACCATTTCCAAAGGCATGAAGACACCTCCCCCCCCCCTCCCCCAGTCAAATTTAACACAGCCACAACCTCATTCTTTTAACAGTTTTCCGTAGTAGTTCGTTTTGGATCACCATCTTCAAATACTCAAGGGAGGAAAAGGTTGTTTCGGTTCATCACGGTGAGGGCAGTGGAGCATGGAGGCTTGAGAGCTGTGTCTGTGGCAGCAGGATTACGAGGTAAAAACTTTTCGAATAGAGCACAGATCAGAACCATGCATGGGCATCATCTTCTTTATTTTTTTTTAAAATATATATTTTTATTTTATATGCATTGGTATTTTGCCATGGGTGCCAGATTCCCTGGAACTGGAGTTATAGCAGTTGTGAGCGGCCATGTGGGTGCTGGGAATAGAACCTGGGTCCTTTGGAAAAACAGCCAGTGCTCTTAACCTCTGAGCCATCTCCAGCCCTTTTATAATAGGTGTTTGCTTTATATTTTTTTGGGGGGTGGGGCGGGAACATCATCTTCTAATGACAGTCCTAATGACCTACTTCTGCAGGGAAGGTCCTGTTTCCTAAAGGTGCCACAGCCTTCAAAGTAGTGCCACAACGAGGGACTGAATATTCAAAATGTGAGTCTGTGGGGGCCAAGTCATGCACAAATCATAACAGAAATCAAAGGTGTAACTCTCCACCACCTTAGATTAGTGTTGTGGAGTATTATTTTAAGATGTGGTACATTTGCTTATGCGTGGAAAATTTGTTTTAATAATGCAAAGATGTGCTGCATTCTTTTATATTGTGTTTGTTTAACTCTGTGAAGCTGTATTGCTGTGCCTGTCTAAAATACCTGGTTGGTCTAATAAAGAGCTGAATGGCCAACAGTGAGGCAGGAGAAAGGATAGGCATGGCTAGCAGGCGGAGAGAATAAATAGAAGGAGAAATCTGGGAAGAGAAGAAGGAATGAGAAAAGGAGGAGTGGAGGACGCTAGGGGCCAGCCACACAGCCACATAACCAGCCACGGAATGAGAGTGAAAGTAAGATATACGGAAGTTAAAAAGGAAAAAGCCCACAGGCAAAAGACAGACAGGATAATGTAAGTTAAGAAACGCTGGCTAGCAACAAGCCAAGGTAAGGCTGGGAATTTATAAGAAAGAGTAAGCCCTATATGATCTATTTGGGAACTGGGTGGTGGGCCCCCAAAAGAGTAAAAAGAGAAAAACAACCAACTATCGATTAGCTCTTTTAATATTCTAATATGACATTAAAATCATGTGGTGGTTTGAAAGAAAATGGCACCCAAAGGAAGTGGAACTATTAAGAGGTGTGGCTTTGTTGGTGTAGGCACGGCCTTGTTGAAAGAAGTGTGTCACTCCGGGTGTTGGGCCCCAAATCTGGGGGTCTCGAGTGGGTGCCCCAAGAACCCAGACTCCAGTCCAGTTGATGCAATAGCAAGAGGTTTTTATTGAAGCTTCTATATAGAAGGGCAAGCTCTGCTCCTAAGAGCAAGGGCCGCATCTTACTGCAGCCCCATAAGGGCTTATAAAGGAAAAACCCACAAAACCCACAAGACTACAATTCCCATACAATTTCGTTTCATATGATCATGGTCTGGTTACAGAGTGATCACAGAGGGGGTACAGTTACGTCAACAGGTACATTTTTCCTGAAAGCAGTACATTCTTCCTGAAACCTCAAGGGGGGGGGGTATCAAGGTGGGAGTGGAGTTTACACACAGGTCACAGTGGTCCTTCCTGGAATACCTGCAACTATCCAGTCACAGTTGAGCACATCTCTTAACAGAAATCTTTTTACATTGTTATATGGTTGCAGGGGATATTGAACAATGGCTAAGTCAGGTTGCCCTTGGAACTAGATTTTTAGTTTCTCATTTTCTGGTGCTTCAAGTTTCTCTTTTCCTGAGGCTTGGGGGTGTAAGCCTGAAGGGCTAGGGTCTTTCACAGGGGCCAGCTTTGAATTCTCCTATGCTCAAGATACTGCCCAGTTCACTTCCTGTTCTTGCTAGATGGAGAACTCTCAGCTACTTCTTCAGCATCATGTCTGCCTGCACGCTGCCATGTTCCCCTTCATGATGATAATAGACTGAACTTCTGAACTATAAGCTGCCACCTCAATGAAATGTTTTTCTTTATGAGTTGCCATGGTCATGGTGTCTCTTCACAGCAATAGAAAACTAACAAAGACAAATCACAGAGATGAGAAAAAAATTATGAGTTTGACTTAAAAACTTTTTCAAGATAGCAAAAATACAACCCAACATAGGAGATAATATTTGCAAATTACATATCTATTATGAATATATATACAATCTTGTATGTATAAACTGTGTATAAATGAATATATGTGCATATATATGTATACAAAAATGCACCTATATACTCAAATTGCAAGTGGAATATAAAATGATAGAGTTAATTTGATCAACAGTCTGGAAATTCTTCAAAACAGTTAAATATGAGATCATTGTAAGTAATCAAAATCCTAGCATTTCTTTACAGAAATTGGCAAGATAACTCTAAATATTCCTTTATTGAAAAAGACATGTTTGAAGGCAGTGGTTTGTGTGTATGGCAGCCTCAGACCCGAATTGGGTCTTCCTAACCATGGGCTCATCTGGATAGCAAAGTCAAAGTCCTATGCATAATGGGCACATTTTTATGTAATTCCTATAACTGGAGCTGACAGATAAATGTTTCTACTAAAAGCAAAAGAAACAACTCATCAATGTGTTCATGTTTCTTATCTGGAACTCACTAAGTAGAGATGCCACTCTGTGTTTTCCAGTGAATTTTGAAGCCAGGGTGTGGATGAAGATGTGAACAGACAACTTCCTCCTCCCCTAGCCATGCCATGCTTTCCTGCTGTGATGGTTTCTGTCACTATGGAACTGTAAGTTAAAATAAATCACTTATTTATAAGTTGCTTTTGTCAGAGTATTTCATCACCACAATCAAAAAGTAACTATTACACCAAGCCAGAATCCCCCTACAGTAAGTAACGATTGAGTGTCAAGGTTGTTATGTTTCAACAGCACTTCATAGGTAGGAAGTCCTATTTTGTTTCTCAGCAGAATCTTACTAATTTTTTTTTTTAATTTTACTAATTACTCATAGAAGATTTTCTTCATTCTCTATATTTTCTGGTTAGTGTGGAAGGAATTTGAAGGAGAACATTCATGGTATCATTTACCATCATTTTTAAGATGAATTCTATAATCAGCTGACATTAGTTCTATCATTCTATAGCCAAGAAAGGCAGCCTCAGAGTATGGGCAAAGAAAATAGATGTTAGGGGTTTCCTGCACTTGAGATTTTGCAAACAGGCTACCGCAGATGGTTATGTACTGGAGAGAGTCTGATTTAGTGCTTATACTACAGTACAATGATACATTACTGGCCAGGCCAGGCATAGAGGCATACTACAT